CATTCCCTATCCAACTCTCCCAATACCAAGGCTACGTGGGCTATTCTTAGAAAACTGACCATTGGTAATACACCCCAGTCTCAGTCCAATTCCGTTTCTGCTGATAACCTCAACGCTCACTTTGTCTCCTGTCCTCTTGCATCCACATCTCCCACGTCCAGTCTGGCTCCAATGTTCTCTTCCTTTAATCCTGATCACTTCTTTCTTTCCCATATTACACCAGATGAGCTCCTTAAATCCATTCAGAAGTCCCATACCAATGATTACGGTCCCGACAACATCCCAGTCAGACTGATTAAAGCCGCATTGCCATCCATTCTTCCGATCCTTTATCATATATACAATTATTCTCTTCAAAATGCTACCTTCCCGACATCCTGGAAAACCGCCCTAGTACGCCCATTGAAGAAGACTTCAAACCCATCAGTTCCTAATGATTTCCGACCGATTTCCCTCCTTTCAAACCTCTCAAAACCATTAGAGCGGTTAGTCCAATCCCAGCTATCCCATTTTTTAGAGGACAATAATCTCCTAAATCCCTACCAGTCTGGATTCAGGCCTGGTTATTCTACTCAGTCTGCCCTAATCAAAATTTCCCAAGACCTTCACACAGCCATAGATCAGCAGAAACTAACCATCCTTATTCTCCTAGACTTCTCCAAAGCTTTTGATTTAGTAGACCACAACATCCTCCTAACTAAACTTAAAAATATCTCTTTTTCTTCTAGTTCCCTTAATTGGTTCCAATCCTTCCTAACCGGTCGCTCCCAGTACGTTGTAATTCCTAATAACCCACCATCAGAATCTCTACCTCTGACCAGAGGCGTCCCACAAGGCTCTTCCTTATCCCCCACCCTTTTCTCCATCTATATAAATGACCTCCCCATCCTCTATCCTGCACTGTCATTACCACCTGTATGCCGACGACATTCAAATTTACCTCTCCTTTAATCCGACAGATATCTCGGATGCCACTCAAAAACTTCAGGAAGATATTGACAGAATAAGTGCTTGGGCAAACCTCAATAGGCTCACTCTGAACGCCGAGAAGACAAAAGCCATCTTGATCGGATCTCCTTCACTCCTCAAATCCTCCCCAGTATCTCCCAATCTCTTCCTGAACAACTCACCTATCTTATTCTACACCACCGTTAAAAACCTAGGTATTACTTTCGATCAATCCCTATCCTGGAAACCTCACATCTCCCAAATTTCCCGTCGCACTATCTCCACCCTAAAACAGTTCAATTGTCTACGATATCTCCTTCCATATAAGTCCCGTCAACTCCTAGTTTCCTCCCTTGTTTTCCCCCACTTCGACTATGGCTGTATGGTGTACGGTGGACTCCCGGGAGATTCCGAGGCCAAACTTAAACGCCTAATGAATTGCGCACTACGATTTGTTTTCGGAATCTCAAGGGATACGCATATTACCCAGTATTACACTGAGTTGAGGTGGCTCTACCCATCCTATCGCCGTCAGTACTTCCTAGCCACCTTTCTGTACCAAATTATTAGAACCCATCGACCCTCCTATATTTTTCACAGCTTACAATTCAAATATTCCATCCAATCCCGTCCCACCAGATCTCGTACTTCCGACCTCTATCCTCCTCCTCACCGAACTGCTGCGTTTGACAAATCCTTTGCAATACAAGCCGCCTCCCTCTGGAATTCCATCCCAGCTGATATTCGACACGCTCAATCAGTTTCCTCGTTTAAACCACTCCTCTTTAAGCACCTACTCCTTTCTCAATCCGAATGATTGTGAAATATATCTTAGAGAAATATCTGAGCACCACCAGAGACTACCTCAATTTATTAAGGTTATTTTAGTTTCTCATACATATGTACAATTTACTTGTTCTTTTTTTTCTCTTTTCTGTATTTTTATCGTAAGTCAACTTTCATTGTAAATATACAATTTAATTGTAGCCACACAGACATATAATCTGTATTCATATTTTGTTCTTAAGGGACAACAGTCCCAGAATAATAAAACATTTTTTTCATTTCATTTCATTTCATGTTTGAAAAAAAAAAAATCTTATACATCCTCCTTTTCGCTGAACTCCATGTATTATCAGTTAATATTTGTTTTCTCCAATTCATCTTATTCACCACATTTAAGGATCGCTCTTGCAAATCTAAGGGTGTTATAGGTTCAAGATTAATTAAATATGATGCTTACGTCACAAGTTTATTATCCAGAGGTATCTCTAAGTTCTGGAAAGCAAGAAATATACATTGATCAATCTTTTGCCAGACTATTTTTCATAAGTTTAGCTTAGATGGCACTATCTTCAAAATATTTAATTCAAATTCTTAAAGCATCGGAATAAATTTTATGAAAAAGCTGTTCACCTTTACTCCGAACACACTGATCGCATATTAAATTTAGAGACATCAAACTCATTCTCTTGTAGTCATCCATGAAAGTTATATAAATATAATAAATTGCTTCGTAAAAAGTATTAAGAAATCCTGTAGTAAATAAAAAAACTTTTTGGTTAATGTAATAATAGACAAGGAAATATCTTAAGACAGCTAGTGTTGCCCAAAATCTTGCACTTTGCAAGACCAAGACCAATACCGCCTAACTGTTGCTAGACTAAAACCAATAACACCTAACTGTTGCAAGACCAAAATTAATACCGCCTAACTGTTCCAAGACCAAGACTGTTAAAAAATCGATTTTTTAAATAAAAATTAAGGAATATAGTTACTAATACTTGACAACTTTAGTTACTATGTGTAAAGAATTGGCATAGTCCAATATACTTCTGAATTTAAATCTTCTAATTTTTTTTTAGAATTAGGGCTTAGTTAGTTTTCTTCTATCTAAAAATTACAGTAATAAGCTAATAGGTAACTGTAAGTCTGTTACGAGACTCTTGCGTAAGACCAATACCAAGCCCAAGGTTAAGCGGACAAGACCAAGTCGAGTCTTAGTCTCGCATTTGGGCAATACTAAAGACAGCTATTGCGAATAGGTTACCAGGTCTAAATGGTAATATTTTATAATATTTTTTTATAAATATTATTTATAAAAAAATACAGCTTGCAGTTTAATCGGGACGAAAACTTATATTATGAAATGAATAAATATTGTAATAACAATGAATATCTGATAATATTTGATACATATTTAGCAATTATAATAATGCTGGAGAGGGATGGAAATAAGTAAATGTGTGCAACTAAGCCACTCGACAGATGGCTTATGCTTTTGATAAGATTTTTTTTATTTGTATTTCGTGATTGTATAAATAAAAGTATTGTATAACAATAATGTAAAGTTTGGGTGCTTTAAATTTACGCCTTGATTAATCGAAAATTTTCAAATGAAATGGCTTTTTATCCGAAAATCTAAATGTTAATTCTGAGTTACATTAATCAGTTATAATATTTTTAACATTAGAATTATTTTTTAAACAGAGTTAGTAATTTATAACACTACTTTTTTACCCTTCATACCTTCACCTGCACCTACCATGAGGATGATAATCATCAGGCCAATACTACTTAAAACAAATTAATAATAATCAATTATTTCGGATGGTTCGCTTTTAAAAATATTTCAGAAAGGGATTAATAATAAAATTTCGTCATAAACAGTTACTTCAATCATAAAATAAAAAATAAATAAGGTAATTTCGTGATTGATAATTAATCATTAAAACAAAGTATGCATTAAAAAAATTGTATATGTACAATAGTTCTACATTATTAACCATGAAATTACCTTTACTATTGCTTTCTCACTACCGAAGGTATAGAAGCTTGTATTCGTGTGAGAGGTTTCAAGAAAATTGGTGCTCAGAATAGAAAATTTAACTCGCGTTTTACGTTTCAGACATCAAGGATCAAATTTGATTCGGTGTCTGTCTGTCTGTCTGTCCGTTTGTTTGTCTGTTTCATCCATTTTACGAGTGAAAACATACCTATTATGCATATATCACTACTATTAGTGCAAAAGGTCGTATGTAAAAATTTTCGACTTTTATTCTATTTGTGCTAAAGGTGACAAATATGGAAAATAACAGATGCCAGTAAAATAAGAAATTATACTAATAAAGCATAAAGAAATAATGAGTTTTTGTGCACTCTTGCAAAACAATCAATTATTACATGTGACATATTGCACTAAAGGTAGTAAAATGCATCTTCAGTATACATTTTTTTTGTTCTTTTAATTATGGGTAAACAAATATGAAATCTTCAAATACGGCACTCTTTTGCATTTTAACATTACCTGATAAACGAAATTCGTGGATATCAAACCCGCAAATTTTGAAGGGTTGAAGGAAAAGGAAAAATTGTATACCTTGTAATATTTTAATATTTTAGCAATGAAAACGGTGAGGAAGCTATACTGATCTTACTTGACAGAATTTTTTTAATTAGTACGTTACTTAAAAATTGGTAAGTTATTATTATTATTAATAATTTGTTTTAAGTAGTCTTAAATATTGTAATCATAAAAAATAAGATTAAAATTAAATTGTTGGAAAGCAAAACATTAAAGTAGATTAATTTAACTCAGAAATAACATTTTGATTTTCAGATAAAAATACCTGATTATTTTAAATTAACTTGAATTAAAAAATTACCTGTTATCTGAAAAATCAAGGTGTAAATTTAGAGCACCCAAACTACATAGCATTGTTGTTATTGTGAAGAAGGTTCTATTATTGATAATCAAAAAAACAGTTCGATGAAAAGAAACGTAAAACTAAAATAGAGACAAATTTATAATTTTTTTCACAAAAACCTTATGAGTAAGCCTCTCACTGAATCTCAAGATATAAATATAGAACAAAAAAAACATTGGATTGTTTTTGTTGACATAAGATGCAAATTTGGAATGCTGTTATAAAGTTGTCTCCCGGAAAAAGATATTTTTGCTCCATCCTGGTGTACATTCATTCTTCAAACGTGTGATACAACCGAGGCGAAAATCACGAATGGTCTGTACTAGGAGAAACCTTTGGCCTAGTTTACGAAAGTAAACAGGAAAACCCCTTCACCGAGGAACGGACACGATAAGATGGGAAGTACTGGCAGGGGAGATTTAGAGCAGCTGGTGCAATCCTCGCTCGTAAAAGGCTGACATAAAATCTGTAGAGTGGTAGCAAGTCGGTGTAGCAACAGTCGAACTGGCAGCTCACTATACTAATAGGTCTCTACTAACACTGCTATTTTGTAACTAGTGCTTATTACTAGTTAGTGAATGGGAGCTGTTCTTGTATGTTGAGCTATAAAAGAGTTAAACGCGATTCGCTTCATTTTTGCTTAACATGATTTTAACATCACTTAGTATCTTTAATAATTATTTATTTGTTTTGGTAAGAAGATCCTCATATAAATAGAGTTAGTCCCTGCGTAACAATAATTATATATTACACTATTTGTTCTCTTTTTATACTGTATTATAAATGGTAAAACACCATTATGACTCAACATACAAAAACATAGTTGGCCAAAAAACCAGTCGAAGTCTTACCCTCAAACTAGTAAATATTTGGCATTCGTATGAAATGGATTTTGACAATTTTATTGTTTACTAAAAACATAATAACTGGAAGATCTGTAAACTGTAAAAAAATATTTAAATGTTCGCTGTTACCTGAAATAAGTAATGTTTTCTCGTTACTTTCTTACAGATGTTTGTATTTATTTATTATTCTGTTGGTACAGGTTCTAAACCATAACTGGATCGTTTTCATAAATTATATCACATTACCCAACGATATTTAACAATTTTTTTCAGTTGGGAACATGAATTGTATTTAGATTTTTTAAATCAATTTTTTATTGAGAAATATTACATTACGTCATTTTCAAGAACAATATTAATAGCGATGAACTAGCTCAAATATTTAGATAGAGAAGGAATAGATTAGAAACATTTACTTCTTTGATTTTCGAAACAAATCTGAATTCCTCCGTTTTCAAAAGTTTAACAAAGTATTCTTAATATTACTTCTTAATATTAAATCCTATCTGAACAAAATTTTTTCCAACGTCTGGAGTTGTTATACTAACCGAAAGTTTTTTTTATATAGAAAATTATGTTGACGTAATCTAAGAGGTATGTGTATTGGAGACTCTTTTACTAGGAACACTGCTGTTAGTAGTTAGAGAATGGGAGCTGATCTTGTATGCTTAGCTATAAAAGAGTAAAATGCAATTAGCTTCATTTCTGCTTAAGACGATTTTAATATCATATATTATCTTTAATTGTAAATTTAATTCCATACCCTCATTTAAAAAAAACTGTACCATTACAAACTATGAAGGGTCTTGTGTAGAGATGGATAGTTGAATTGAGAATCTTATATTATTCGCATATTATTCACTCGGAAACAGTAGATTAACTCGAAACAGATCGATTCTGACGGAAGGTTTCATTTCGATTATCGATGAATCTTCTAGAACGCTCTCTCAGTTTTCATTATCTCTTACTGGTTTTGTTCTAGGATTCTTCCAGTCCAGTCCACTATTGATTGCTTGGTTGTTCTGTTTAATTTCTATTATCATTTCCTACTTCGGACTTATATAAACAATACTAATTAGCATGACTATTTTGTTTATTTCTATATTTTTTCTCTCCGTTTGTTTTATTTATGTATGTATACAGTTTTTTTCTCTCTTGTACTTTTATTTTTAAATACCTTTTGCCACTAATTTAGTCCGAGCCAGATACCTATCCTTTCAATATAAAGTTTAGTCTTGTTTCCAGCCTTGCTTCTTCCTCGATTCCTGATAATCCCCCTATGCTTCTGAAAAGAAAATGACCTCGTGATCTTCTTACCTAGAATTAAATAGGGAGTGCTACCACTGGGTAGTATCTCTCCAAATCTGTTCATGTAATTATATCTAATGTGTGTATTTTTATTGGTTGTATTTTTTATACAGTTAAAAATATCATTAAATAAATAATAATAAAAAACATACTATTTATTTTGAAAATATTTAAATAATTGATTGTTCACACTGCCTTGTTTTATTTATGATGTATTTATAATTTGTTCTAATGGGACATGAATTTCGAAATTATAAAATTATTTTTCGTTTCCTTTAAAATTTATATACACAGACCAAAATTAATAAGTAGAATTAAAACCAACTTTTCCTGTCAAAATTAATCTTTCTTCTAACTTATATATATTGTTTTTGTATATATTTGAAATACATTTGATACATAAAAAAAAGTTTTTGTCTGAATAACCATCAGGTTTAGATTATTTGTTATTTTATTTTACATTAAAGGTTCCCTTTAAATTTAAATAAAAAACTATGAAAAAAAATCAACTGGATAATCTTTCCCAAGAATCGATTTACCACAATGATTGAATAGTTTCGAATCGGTTCACTTAGAAGAATAAAATCTTTCCGTCTGTAGTCTTGAGTTAAGTATTTCGTTAGGAAGTACTGTTTCAAGGCCAATGCTTGTGCAGGAATGTGATCGGGCCAGGACCATGCTCAACCACCAGGTTTTCCCTCTTAATTAAGAGAACCCACTTTGACGGGACTGAATATGCTCCAGGGTCGATCTAAGATCAATGAAACATAATAAATAAATAATTACCTGACGTCAACTGGATTTGAATACCAGAACTTGAGCTTAGAAAGTCAGTGCATTACCCACTAAAAATATACTGCTTTAAAATGAAAATGTTTCCCATGAAATGCAATACTAATATTCACTGCGAATTTATTTTAAAAGATAAGCATAAACGCGAAATGAGCATCTGTCACAAAAAAAATTTCATCGCTTTGAAAATAGACATAGCCATTTCAGAATATATAAATTATTAATTCCCCTTTGATAATCTCTAAACCCGACAGATATTTAATATGTCGCACTACTTTGTGAAGCTGACATGAAAGATAAAACAATATGGCTGAACGCGGCTTCTCCCAACGACTTGGCAAAATTAGTTTGGTACTGGCTTAGTCGGAAGCCAGGTGTGAACTAAACTAGATCCTGTTATAGGCTTCATCTACGCACCCGCCCATTTAAGTTATCCCGACCGAAATTGAACTTTCCCAATAGGATTCCGTAGGTATTAGGTTTAGGCTTGTATTTTGCGACGTAGTTTAAGAGAATGGTAAGGAACTACGGAACATGGACACATTTATTAAAGGTATGCGAATATGTGAGTGTTCTTTTAAACATTTCTTTGGGTTTTTACTATTTTTTGTGAATTAAAGTTGTTGGCTACATCGGATTTCTTACGTCTGGTTTCATAGATTGCCGATAGAATACGGTAGGAGGCTACTAGTTAAAGGTAAAGGATTGTAACTAATAAACGTTTTTTAAAATTTTATTTTAATCTTGCACATTGAGAAATATTACATTCAGTTTTAATTAAGGAAAATTTAATACAGATCAGAGAGCACACTTACATCATACTTGCAGAAATAATAATAAACAAATTAAGTAATATAATATATTATAAAAAACGCTATCGATTATTATCCAATAGTTTACTTGTTTTTTTTTTTTTTTATGATTTAAGGCATAAAACTCTAGGGTCATCTACACCTGTGAGTCGGTTGTATTTGTAAATTCTTTAGGAAGGAAAAAGAAAAGAATAAACAAGAAAAAAATAATAATAGATCGATAGGATAATAAATGAAAAATATATTTTAAAAAAGGAAAAAATGAAATATTTTTGAATAAATAAAAAAACAAAAACCGAAGCCCATTAAAATAAAAATTGTATTTATTTTTATATTTTACTTAATAGCATATATATTTTAAGAAACTTCATTACTGTTTTTATGTTTATGGGGGAGAGGAAGTGAAATGGGATGTACCGTCATTTTTAATATGATAAGGTACATATGATTGGGTATTTAAAATGAACAAGTGGACTGTATTGAAATTAAGTATAATTATATTTAAACAGTATATTAAGATGGGGTTTGCCGTATAATGGTTACAATCGTTTACTTGATGTGTGAGGTACGGTGGTCGGTATCGGTGGTCGGCCGGCTGCTACACTTCTCACCTCCATGTGTCCGGTAGGTCTCAGTGTTCTACTCCATTCCTCTTCCCATGGTAGAACAGCAAGAAGGTGGTCTTGAAGAGGATAGAGTGTTCGTCTACTTCTCCGTGTGGTTTAGTCGCCCATTTTTTCTCCTACTACTAAATTCTGTGCAGACTGCGCCACCGCCGCACAGTGTTACCTACCCGGCTTCATGTACCCCATGAAGGGGGGGGGAGTAACATCAATTTAGGGTGATCAACCCTAAACAGGAAGCGGCGAACTTTGTCACTTTCACTTGTTGAGAGATCAGGAAAAAATGGTTTTATTCAGGCAACCTAATCTTTAAGGTCAAATGATGAGTGTTTCCTTCTGACTTGGTTGACGAAAGGTGTGTCCTTGTAGATTTTTAGCGTTAGTGTAAGCAAAATAATTTTTAATATTCTTCAGCAGCAGGGATATTGTTAGATCTGCAATTGCTTGTTTTTTCACCTTATTTGTACGGCTAATAATTTTTCAATTCAATCAAAACTTCAAATTTTTCTTGTCTAATAGGTGTTACATACGTATTAACCTACTTCATCGACTTAGTTATTTATAACGGACCTCTAAAAATTTAAAGCCAAAACTGGTTTTATTTATTCTTCAAAGAACACCCCTCAATTCTGAAAGATTGGCGAATTGATTTTTTACATTATGAAAATTAAGTAAACGAAAATACCTACTCCAGCGAAATAATGCCTGTTATTTTCTTATTATTTTTTTTAATGATATAGGATACGCTTCGTAATCCTCTTTAGAATATTGGCAATTATCTGGAATAATATCAGTGGATATTGGGTATTGGCTATCAGGCTATCAGCCAATTATTTAAAAGTGAGTTTACGTTTCCAATAAAGTCTGCTGAAAAGTCAAACAATACTCTGCCCCATCAACTTCCCTAATTGTAAAAATAATTAATAAGAGCAATGTGTAAAACAAATACAGCACTTCAAGGATGTTGTTAATGAATTATTGCAGATGGATATTATTCTTATACAATAATTGTATAATAGTTGTCAATTAACTCAAGCGAACAAGGAGATTACTTATACATTCAGGATGCTCTGATTCAGTATATACGTATATAACCACGCTCGACGTTGCTTAACTTTGATTAT